TATGATGAAATGCTTTGAAATTTCTAACATAGACATGCATTAGGATGTACTACAATATGATATATAAAATTTTTCATGAAATCACGCGCATGCGCGTGCGCTGCAATCTGATTGGCTGAAACTTTAAATGAGTATAACTCCCTTGGTTTTCAACCAAACAGCATGGGATTTACAATATAGATAGACATAAATGACTCCTACAGGATGGTATGGTCACCATTCACATGCATGCATGTGCGTGCACGTGCGCTTTGCTCTGATTGGCTGAAACATAAATCTCAATATCTTTTCTGTTTTTTTACAAAATGCTTTGAAATTTAAAACATAAGCATTCTTTAAGATGTCCTACAATATGATATATAATAATTGTCATGAAAATACGCGCATGCACGTGCGCTGCAATCTGGTTGGCTTAAACTTTAAATGGCTATAACTCCCTTGTTTTTCAACCAAACAGGATGGGATTAAGAACATAGACAGACATAATGGACTCCTACAAGAAGGTATGGTCATCATGCACGTGCGTGCACGTGCAAATGAGTAAAATAGTGTAGACAAGATGATATCGTCATTACGCTCATGCAATCACATGCGCACGCCTGCATTGCTTAAATTTGAAATACTTGGTATACTTTTGGAAAAACGTTCTTTACGTCTTAAATGCATAGATTTTGCCTTCTTTAATGAAACTTACAGGGAATATGGCACGAGAAGGGAGTTGGGGAGCGTTTGGGGAACATCTGTAACGGTTCCCGTTACAATTAGCACTAGTTATTATTATTCTTTTTTCTTCTTATTTCTTCTCCGGTACTTTTTTGTCCGGAAGTGTTCTCAGAAACTGTTCACCAAACTAAGTTAAAACCTTTTTAGGGTTAGTAGGCATGTTGTGTAGATGTGCTGAACGAAGGTCATTTTGCGCGCATTCGCATGCACGTGCGGGCGCGTGCAATGAGTAAAATGACTGATATATTTAATATGGTTGTAACTTTTATATTTTTTGATAAAATGTTTTGAAACTGATTATATAATGATATATAAGATGTGTAGATAAGATGACATGGTCAAATTTTCATGAACTCACGCGCATGCACGTGCGCTTTGCTCTGATTGGCTGAAACAGAAATCTTAATATCTTTTTTGTTTTATGATGAAATGCTTTGAAATTTATAACATAGACATGCATTAGGATGTACTACAATATGATATACAAAATTTTTCATCAAATCACGCGCATGCACGTGCGCTGCAATCTGATTGGCTGAAACTTTAAATGACTATAACTCCCTTGGTTTTCAACCAAACAGCATGAGATTTAGAACATAGATAGACATAAAGAACTCCTACAAGATGGTATGGTCACCATTCACATGCATGCACGTGCGTGCACGTGTGCTTTGCTCTGATTGGCTGAAACAAAAATCTCAATATCTTTTCTGTTTTTTTACAAAATGCTTTGAAATTTAAAACATAGGCATACTTTAAGATGTCCTACAATATGATATATAATAATTGTCATGAAAACACGCGCATGCACGTGCGCTGCAATCTGATTGGCTTAAACTTTAAATGGCTATAACTCCCTTGTTTTTCAACCAAACAGGATGGGATTAACAACATAGACAGACGTAATGGACACCTACAAGAAGGTATGGTCATCATACACGTGCGTGCACGTGCAATGAGTAAAAAGTGTAGACAAGATGATATCGTCATTACGCTCATGCAATCACATGCGCACGCCTGCATTGCTTAAATTTGAAATACTTGGTATACTTTTGGGAAAACTTTGTTTACGTCTTAAATGCATAGATTTTGCCTTCTTTTATGAAACTTACAGGGAATACGGCACGAGAAGGGAGTTGGGGAGCGTTTGGGGAACATCTGTAACGGTTCCCGTTACAATTAGCACTAGTTATGTTCCCCAAACGAAGTTGGGGAACATATTGTTTTTACTCTGTTTCTTATTATTATTATTATTATTATTTTTCTTCTTCTTCCTGGGTACTTTTTTGTCCGGGAATGATCTTGTAAACTGTTCGTCCGAGGTAGGTAAAACCTTTTTAGGGTAAGTAGACATGTTATGCAGATTTGCGGAATCAAGGTCATTTTGCGCGCACGTGCTTGCAAGAGCGCGCACGTGCAACACTTGAAATAACCAATATAATAGATATAGTCGGAACTTTTCTATTTTTTGATAAAATGCTTTGAAACTCATAATGTAAGGATACATTAGTAGTATAGACAAGATGGCATGGTCAAAATAGCAAGATCTCACGCGCATGCACGTGCGCTTTGCTCTGATTGGCTGAAACTAAAGTCTCAATATCTTTCTTGTTTCTTGTCATAATCTTTTGAAATTTTTAACATGGTCCTACATTATGAAGATCTACAGCATGATATATTAAAATTTAAATAAAAGCATGCGCATGCGCGCGTGCTGTAATCAGATTGGCTAAAACTTTAAATGGCTCTATCTCCTTTGTTTTTTGACGAAATGCTTTGAAATTTAAAACATAGTCATGCATTACGATATCCTAAAATATGATATAGAAAATATTCATGAAATCACGCGCATGCACGTGTGCTGCAATCTGATTGGCTGAAACTTCAAATGGCTATAACTCTCTTGTTTTTCAACCAAACAGGATGGGATTTAGAACTTGGATAAATATAAGATAAATATCAGGGACTCCTACAGGAAGGTGTAGTCATTATGCACGTGCGTGCACGTGAAATGAGTAAAATAAAAAATACACTCGAATGAGTGCATTTTTTAATACTTTTGGATTAAATGCTTTGATATTATTAAAATTTTAGATAGTGTAGACAAGATATTATGGTCGTTACGCACATGAACACGCGTGCAATGCCTATTTTTTTTAATATATTTTGTATTTTTCTTGGAAGACCTTGTTTAAGTCTAAATTCCATAAAGTATTTCTTATTTAATAGAGATAACAGGGAATATGGCACCAAAAGGAAGTTGGGGAGCATTTGGGGAACATCTGTAACGGTCCCCGTTACAATTAGCACTAGTTATTATTATTATTATTATTTTTTTTCTTATTTCTTCTCCGGTACTTTTTTTGTCCGCGAGTGTTCTCAGAAACTGTTCACCCAACTGAGCTAAAACCTTTTTAGGGTTAATAGGTGTGTAGTGTAGGTGTGCGGAACGAAGGTCATTTTGCGCGCATACGCACGCACGTGCGTGCGCGTGAAATGAGTGAATTGACTGATATACTTAAAATAGCTATTACTTTTACATTTTTTGATGAAATGATTTGAAACTCATTATATAAAGATATATTAATACTGTTGATAATGTGACACTGTCAAATTAGCACGAACTCACGCGCATGCACGTGCGCTTCGCTCTGATTGGCTGAAACAAAAATCTCAGTATCTTCTCTGTTTTTTGATGAAATGCTTTGAAATTCAAAATATAGTCATGAATTAGGATATCCTACAATATGATATAGAAAAAATTTCATGAAATCACGCGCATGCACGTGTGCTGCAATCTGATTGGCTGACACTTTAATTGACTATATCGCCTTTGTTTTTTGTCGAAATGCTTTGAAATTTAAAACATAGTCATACATTAGGATGCCCTGCAATATGATATACAAAAAATTTCAAGAAATTACGCGCATGCACGTGTGCTGCGATCTGATTGGCTGAAACTTTAAATGACTATATCTCCTTTGTTTTTTGACGAAATGCTTTGAAATTTAAAACATAGTCATACATTAGGATGCCCTGCAATATGATATACAAAAAATTTCAAGAAATTACGCGCATGCACGTGTGCTGCAATCTGATTGGCTGAAACTTTAAATGACTATATCTCCTTTGTTTTTTGACGAAATGCTTTGAAATTTAAAACATAATCATTCATTAGGATATCCTACAATGCCATATAGAAAAATGATCATGAAATCACGCGCATGCACGTGTGCTGCAATCTGATTGGCTGACACTTGAAATGGCTATAACTCCCTTGTTTTTCAACCAAACAGGATGGGATTCAGAACATAAATAAATATAAGGGACTCCTACAAGAAGGTATGGTCATCATGCACGTGCACGCACCTGCGTGCATTTGGAACGAATGAAATTAGAAATACACTTGAATGAGTGATTTTTAATAATTTTGGACTGAATGCTTTCACAAATAGTATATTACAGGGAATATGGAACTAAAAGGGAGTTGGGGAGCGTTTGGGGAACATCTGTAACGGTTCCCGTTACAATTAGCACTAGTTATGTATTTACAGTGGCTGCAATGTTGACGCCTTACACGAACTACCGCGTTTACGAACGATTCCGCACGATTAACGCACGATTAAATCTTATACACGAACACTATTCTACACGTTAAACGATCTTACACGACTGCTAACGCAAACGCACAATTCTTCATGCAAAATGTTATATTGTATTTTGCGTTTCCAATTTAAATTCTCACTTGAATATTGTTCCACTTGGTTAAACTGATATCATATGTCACAAATTACTGTAAACCAACAAACAAAACTAACTATGAAAAAAGTAGAATTTTGAATATCAAAAGGTTTACCATTTCTTAAAATCTAAGAAATTTATTACTTGAATCATTTACGATCAAAATAAGTGAAAAAATATACCAATCCAGGCATCATGGTTGTATAATCTGTCATTATGGCAATATATACCCAGTATGTAAATACAAGAAATAAAAGTGCATATATGTTTTCAGACTCGTTTTGTGTATTACCCACTCTACAATGCTTCATGAACTAAAACAAAAACCAGAAACACTAAAAATAACAAAAATGCCCCTTTTGTCTATAATGCTATTGCTACATGTATTTTATATTAAAAAAAAATACATGTACTATTTTAATTTTTGTACGTTTTTCTTTCTTTCACCGAGCTTCTTTATTTTCAGATAATTTCGGATTATTGTATATTTCAAATATTTCTAATTTTATTTGTCAATTTCAGATATAAAATAAAACTTTAATTTGACGATTTTAGGGGTGTTTACTACAAAATTTGGAACTATCAGTAATATGAAGGTGCTGAGTTTTGCTTTATTACTACTCTGGATGTGTTGGGTAAAATTAGAAGCAAAGGAAAACTCTAGAGTTAAAATTGATGAAATATGTTCAGCGGAAATCCAGACACTACGCCAGGAGATGTCAGCATTGAGAGAAGAAGTTCTTCTCCAGAAAAAGGAAATTAAACAACTCAAAAATGAAGAACCACAAAATCCAGAACAGAAAGAAAATCGCCAGGATGCGCAAAGTCCTCTTAGAACCCTTCATGCAGCTTCAAAGCAGAAGAGATTTCAACGAGAAAATACATTTTCCAGTGGGCAATTCTCCGATCAGCATTACAAATACAGAGGAAAACGATGGTTATTTGGTCAGGAACAAAACGTATCACTTTCCACGAGTAAGTATCTTTTTTTTATTTATCTGCAACAACAATTAATATAAGCAAGGTCATTTGTAGATTTCGAGATGACAAACAAAATATATGCCTGTGAATGATCAGATACTTTTCCTCGGAGACCCCAATGCCCATTTTGCTGGGGGTGGGCAGGGGGAGTACCCATGAAAGTTGATACTCAAATACCTATTCATACCTGTAAATCTCATGTAAAGAAATGCAATTTTTTGTAGTTATCCTTAATTAAACAGTAATAGAATTCCTTTCTTTATTGATAAAAAGTTATGCTGCCGACTTTTAAATTAAATTCTATGGTTAATATAACTGACATGTTCACATACTATTATACCTGTACTTAACTCTTTACAGAAAATATGTACTTCTGTGAGCAAATTTAAGGAACATTAGGGGGAAGAGTGTGCTTTAATCATATTTTGTTACAATTGGCTATCTTCAACTTACACATCATTTTGTTCACTAAAAGTGAATTAGATTGGACAGCAGGCAAAGAAAATTTTCGTCCTCTACCTATTAGCTATCTTTAATCGTGTTACGAAGTTCAAAGTATCATTTTAAAAGTTTTTGATTTCGAATTCGGCAGCTTGATATATAATCAAAGTCAGGGCACACATTGCAAAAATATTAATACAAAATCATCAACTTTTGTGTGGGTTTGAAAACTAGATTCACTGGACTAAAACAAAATGACCTTTTGCATACGAGTATCATTGACTTTTTTTCCGGCTGGTACAAAGTACAAACATTAAATAAATAATTGATCTGGCCTTGAATATTAATGTTTATTAGCATAATATGATATAAGGAGTGATCTGTGATATCTTACAATGATAGCACAAACGTATCACATACGTATGTTATAGAAAAGAATTAAATAGAACTAAAGTACCGAATAAGAATGTAATACAAGGAATTTTCTCCAAATCTCTAATTACCTATAATTTTTATCGTAAATGCCTAAATGTATATCAGGTACAGTGTACTTTGAATATTATTTCATAAATATGTATTTGAGATTTAAAGTTAGAATAAAAATACAGGGAACTTACAAGCTTAGGATAATGGCTTGTTTTCCTTCTTTAGATACAAAAAATGACAAATAAATAATGTTTAATTATGAAGGTTTTCAATTTATCATAAACGTAATGAAAATATTCTGTATGTGCAAATGTCTACAAAATGTAAGTTGTTGTTTGATTTTATTTGACAGAGCGCCAAATAGCTTTTCATGCAAATTCTCCAACGCACTTTAGACACCTTGCAGTTCGACAAACCTTAATCTTTGGAAACGTCATCCTAAATGTAGGAAACTACTATCGCCATGTTACAGGAATCTTTACCCCAGACGTCTCCGGTGTGTATGTTTTTTATGTGCAGCTAGTGATGTGTGATAGGAATCGTATTGTTCACACTGAACTTCTTGTAGAGGGTGTTCGCAAACGTGCCCACTTGGCAGGGGGCGTTCACTATTGTTCAAATGGAGGAGGAATGACTATCGTCCACGTAAATGCCGGGGACTCCGTCTGGGTTCGACTCTCAACAACAGATGGAAATAACAACTTTGGTTATGAGAGCAGTTTTTCTGGATTTTTACTGTATGAAGACTGATACAAGGTATACCTACATGTGCTCTTATAAAGATGTTTCATACTTGGGAATATCCGGGTTTCCGGTATCAGCATTAACGATCACAAATAACAACTGAGAACTTCAAGATAATTAATTCCTAATTTACAGGCCGTTGTTGTATCTTATCCATATTTATTCCCTTTTATTAATAATCATATGTATACATATCCCTTTTAATTTTCTATTATCAATATTTTTACTCTGCGCCTATTATAGGCCCCATATTTCTTTACTTGGGGATTTAAACCTCTAGGAAGAATTTTATGTTAGTTTAACATGTTTAACAATCAAGGTAATATTCTAGCTTAGTTTTCATTTTCATTTTTTTAATCAAAGATAATTGAAGCAGATTAATTATTTTTATTAATTCATGTACCGACAATTATTATAATCGGCTACAATAAATGGCAATAATTAAAGACGCATTAGCTACAAAGTGCTACATACACGTACCTTTAGTTAGTGTTTGTGTGGTTTATGAAAATTAAGATGGAGAGTAGTGTTTTTCCAAATGTAACGATGTTTTATTAATAAATAAAATCGTGTTGAAATGTTAATTAATATGTAAATTTATATATATAAAAAAAAAAAAAAAAAAAAAAAAAAAGCTGAATATTACATTTACATGCATCCGGATATTTGAATTAGTCTCGTTCTTTAACACGTAGAAATAGACTTCATCATAAGATAATTAAATACGAAGGGTGGAAAAAACTTTGCAAACCTTTGGAAATATGAAACTTATTACCGCATACAAATTTGGCATTATAAATTTTATATAACAGGAAAAACGTTCTTTGAATATAATGGCGTTCTTGTGAGAATGGCGATGAATCAAAGGGCGATAAAGTTTAGAATTGACTGTACGTTAAACTGTTAAGTTATTCGTTGCTCGACTACAAGGGATTCAAATATTTTTTTCCAAGTCATCTAACTTTTGACGTCATTTTAGTATTGTGACGTCACAAACATTTTCACCAAACGTAGTAGGAATAAAACATAATTTTGAAGATAATGAACAATATTCAAGATAAAAAGTCCATATAACAATACAAAATAGGAGCAGAGCAAACAGTCGGACTTCCAAAACATCAGAGGTGGGACCAGGTACCATGGAGGAATTAGCATTCCCTGCCGACCGATCAGTACCACTCGTGTTCTTTGTTATGATCGGGAAATAGCGGGAAAATCCGTCGTCAATTCACTGTATAAATAATGGAATAACAATATGTATGTAAAACGTCAGCAAGCATTTAACTCAATGATAAATTGTATTTGCTGACAGGGTCATTTTATCGACCAAAGAACTTACAAAATGATGACTTTAAACGAGACTTCGGATTATTTTGTTTCAACGCGCGGTATTCAATTTGTCGGCAGGGCCAGGTGTGTTATAGGACCGAAGACATCCAAAAATATTTATTCAATGCTTAAACCACGTTTTAGAAATTGTTCATTAATAGAAAATGATGTTGCATATCAAATCAACTGAGATTTATAAATAGACTCCGTATGCAGGTTAAGAAGGTATTTGCTGCATAGATAAAGGAAGTTGACAATTGAAAAGTTAAAGTTATCAAGTTTATCATAAAGCATGGTTGTTAAATTACCATTTACGTCTTTTTAAAGTAAAATATCGAAAGATGAAAAAGATGTGTCAGACTTTTTGCTATCTTTTATCTCAAACTCACCAGGATATATCGTATGGATGCACTGTTTAAGAATGGAAATTACCATTGATAATTGAAAATACGTCGTCGATATATCTAAATGTCGAGTTTAAGGCCAAAGCAAGTATTTTTTTCTTTTCACGCATAATATTTTCATATGAGTTTAGAAAAAGGTCTGCTAATAACCAGGCGCAATGGATACCAATGGTAATTCGAAAAGGAAGGAGAAATGCATGAAGAAAACATATGGTTTGACAGAGACTCGAACCCTGACCCCTGTATTATTAGTTAGGTGCTGAAACCACTGAGCTATTTAGGAGGATATCCACGGTCCTTAATGATGCCTGAACTTTCCTTCCTCCTTCAACAGTCTTCGACCTCGAAGACACAAGCTCAAGAACCCTGTCATCAATGAATTCTAATTTACACATACTTTGTAACCTTAACACCCCCCAACCCCCCTCTACACACACACACTGGCCACCAAAAGTAGTAGAAAAGGAGAAATGCTCGAAAAAACATATCGCTGGACCTGGAATCGCGCCCGGGACATCTGCATTACCAGTAAGGTGCTCTATCAACTGAGTCAGCCGGCCACAGGCGTTGGAACCCGACTGACCGCCTAATTCCTCCCTCTTTAACTGTCTTGAGTCCCTCAAATATCCCAACTCAGACGCAGTCCTGGCAGGCCTCTCATCTTTCAGTTCCAAGGCAGGCACCATATGTAACGGAAGAAAAGAAAATGCAGCAGACCAGGATTCGAACGCCGGTGGCCGGGTAGAATCAGATCAACAATCGTTACGTAGCATCTGCTATTCTAATGCAGTTGGTTCGAAAAACACGTGTTGATTGGCTACTGAGCTGTGCTTGAAGCAGTAAAACAAGCACTTAAATTTGATAAAGATCTTCAAAAAAGATTTGAAAGTCAAGGCCAAGAAGTCAAAAATATATTATAATATGCATTCATACATAAACAACAGGTCTTGTCAAAAGGATTGATTGATTGATTGTATATTGTTTAACGTCCCTCTCGAGAATTTTTCACTCATATGGAGACGTCACCGTATGCCGATGAAGGTCTTCAAATTTTGACCTTTACTCGGAACTCAGGGCCATTGAGCACTGAGGGATCTTTACACAGCTAATTGTGCCACGTACGTGTTACATATGGTTGCACATAACACATGTATCACGTTTGTGAAATGTACGTATCACATACGTGTATTACAAACATACGTTTCACGTATGTGGTACAACATACATATAACATACGTTTCACATAACATACGTTAAACATATGTTTGGAATACACTTATGTGTTACTTTCGTGAAACGTACGTGTAACATATGTTATGTGCAACCATACGTTACACGTACGTTAATAAACGAACGGTTTACATGTGTATTGTCAACCACATGTTACACATACGTTAATGAACACATGGTTTACATGTTTATAGTAAACTACATGTTACACGTACGTTAATGAACTCATGGTTCACATGTGTTTTATAAAGCACAAATGTTAGTATAGTTTATGTGTATTACATGTACAAACCACACATTAAATATACTAATGTACATAAATAAATTATGGTTAACTTGTATTATAAAGCTCTCATTACATAATTATATGTTGATGAATATAGTATGTGTATTATCAGGAATATGTTACATATACATTAAAAAGGTGTTTTACATGTGTGTGAAAAGCTATGTTTGAGAATGAGAAGGCTGTATATATTGTAAATTTATACTACTACATACATGTATGATAAATGTAGGTTGACTTTAAATCTAATCCTTTTTATTTTATTTCAAATCTAATTTATTAATCAAATTATCATTTAGTTTTTGCTATAAAGAGAAAAAACAATGCGTTAAACATTTATTGTTGCTAGAGACTACATCATTTCGTTTAAAATGCAGGAACTTTTTGTATAAAAGTATGGCTGACTTCCACTAATAACTATTTTTCCTTTAAAGTTTAATTGATTTTGGAGAACTAATCAGGATATTATCTAACATAACAATCAATAGGCACTTAGGGCTTAACCTGTTATTCAGGAAGAAGAGCAATCATAGTTATATGACCATCCATACAATCCTTCTTATAACATGTATAACGGGTCCTTAGACAAGAAGTTGCATGTATTTTAATAATTATAATATTTTAAAATCTAAAATATCTTTTTTTGACATAAACATTATTATGATATTTGGTTAAGCATGTTAAACCCAATCACAACTGAAGCTCACATGTGTGTGCGTTGTTGACTTGTCGTGCGTGTTTTGCTTCTTTAATGTTTTAATTTATTTCACATTGTTTACCTTGCGTCCATTTTCATGTTTTGCATGATGTTATCAGTTCGCATTGGTTTAAAGTATACTCTAAAAACAAAGTTTACATAAAAAAGTTCTCCACAATCTCTCACCAGAGGGCGTGCTCCGCTTACACCTCTGTTGTCGTCTAAAAAGTAGTTCGGATTGCCAAACATAAGTAAATGTCAACAAAAATTGTATAAACATTGATTGTTTTGTATGTTTTGCCAATGATTTTACGTGTTTTGAGCTCTCTGGTAGTAAATATTTTCTAACTCTGTCTCCTTGGTTTCAAAATGAAAATGTGTGTAAAAATTCCAAACAAAATAGTGCCCTATATATTGAAACTATTTTAATATATATCCAAATTTTGAAAGAACAAAAGAAGTGCTACAGATTGATATTTCTAATTTCATTTAAAAAAATTACCAACTTGGTGGCAATCTATAATTTATTTCCGTTTTACAAGATTCTTGTAATTTAGACGATTACAGAGGTGTTGGAGCGGAGCGTAAAAACGCCCTCTGGTGAGAGATTGAAGTTCTCCAATCTCGTCATGTGTATCGGATATCATTAGAGGCACATAAAATTGAGCTCGGTCATCGGTAGATATAATCAATCCGAATTCAAGAGCAAAACTAAATTTAAAAAAAAGAAAAAATTCACGATAATTTCACAACAAATCTCAAAAGGGAGTAAATGATTCACCTAGATAATTATCAAATATACAGTGCATACCGTCCGTATAAAACTTATAAAATATACCTTCCGGAATTTTCCAACCTCCATTTATGTATTACATGTACGTTACCAGTGACGTCACTTGAAAGAGAAGTCCGCAAGTTGTAGGGCCTAGCTAACAGTGAGGAATGCATAAAATCACAATTATTTAATTACATTATGACCGTGTGTTGCATGTAAACTAAGAGGGGTGTTTTTTCAGTGTATTACATAATGGAGACTTGGGTTACCAAAAAAAAAATGTTGACCATGTTGAGGCAGTGAGCTGTCTTGGTCAGCACCCAGGTGTATCCATCAACACGGGCACGTTATATCAAAATGCAGGTGAAGTTTAAAAAATACTGTAATAACAATTAAGTATTTATTTAAAATGTTTTTTAACCTAACAAATAAGATGCAAAGCAAGAGGCCCATGGGCCACATCGCTCACTAATCAGAGATTCCTCTGACTCTAACCCCCGGTTTTATATTATGACTTGTGCGGGGGAGAGTCAGAGCGGAGGCCATATTAAAAGTACTCACCTTTGTATGAT